GCGCTCACTAATCCCCGCTCAAATGACCGTGTTGCAGACCGCATGAAATCGAATCGAGCCCTTCTCCACAGCTCTTCTGTGCGAGCGCAAAATAGATTCTGAGATCCATTCTCCTCATTGGCGCGCCAAACGGACCCCGCGCTTGACTTCGACCGTGATTTATCCGTCAATGTTCACCGCGGCGATGCGGCCGCTGGGGAGCGGACAATACTCTTCGACTGCGCGCGTGCCGGAGGTAGTGTGTGTGTTCAGTGCGCAGAGCTGAACCGCGAGCGCTTCAAGGCGGACGGCCGCATTTCGAACTATAATACGGAACGCGGGATGTGCAAGGTTAGCTAGGTCGTAACACTACGCAGCTCGTGGCAGAGAGCGCTTGGGTGAGATTGTTGTTCTCAAAGCATAGCGTACAATGTACCGAAGACCTCGTAAGCCACTTCACTACACAAAATACTATCTTGTATACATGACGTTATACATTACGCTGCCGATTTCTCTGTCTCTTTTTCTTTTTGGGCCTGCGCCTGCTGCCCGGCCGTCGTGATGTCGGTTCCAAAGAGGCGCAAGCTTAGCGCACTGGCGTCAGGAAAAGTGTTATCAGCCGCCAGCGAACAGAAAATGCGACAAACGGCACGATGACGCACCTCTTCGCCTTTTTGTCGATCATGAGCGTGACCGAGACGTTCGACTTCCAGATGGGGAGCACGAGGTCATGCGTGAGGCTAGACATGCTTGTAAGTGCTTGTCGGGATAATTGGATCCAGGTGGCATACCTTGCCCCATCCAAGTTACCGAGGGGGAAGCGCACGACGTGGCTTCCCGAAGCTACACGATTGCCTTCATCAGCACAGGCCGTGCTGTTGTAGTAGAACGTGAAACGTGAAACGCACCTCGTGCTTCAATCGCGCCTCGGAACGGCTCCGCGAACGTCGCGCAGAGCGGGTAGTATGCCTCGACGAGTGTGCGCAGCGCGGGCATGTCGCCCTCCATGATGAACCTCTCGTCGACGTACGGCAGCACGACGGGGAGGCCCTCGCCGAGCACGCGGAACTGTGCCTCCGCACCCGCACTCCCGGTCTCAGTCCCATCGGCTTCAGCCTCGGCGGCGGCAGCGGTGGCCGCGGCGCGTGCACTGCCACCCTCCTGCTTGGCAAACACCTTCGTGCCCGCAGCAGTGAGCCGCAGGCGCTCGAACGAGTTGTGTGTGATCACCGCTTTGACGAGGTCGTTCGCGAGGTACAGTGAGCGCGCGGCGGCGCCCGCCGGGTTGCGTACGAGAACGTTCGACGAGGGGAAGCCGTTGATGTGTAGGCGGGCCCTACATGTCAAAAAGTGTTTGTTAATGTCGCGGTCAGCGTGTACATGTGAGCGGACGGAAAGAGGACGCACAGGCATGACACTAGCACGGGATCGTCCGGCGCTAGGAACGTATACGGATTCTCCTTGAACCCGCCTTCACCACGCGCAAGCTTTTTGCCGATGCGCATCGTTGGGCCCGTGGGCTGCGGCGCATCAGCGATGTCTGCTTTAGCCTCTTCAGATGCATCGGCGACGTCGGCGTCGGTTTCAGCTTCCACGATGGCGTCCACCAGTTCGTCGACATCAGGCGCCGAGCTAGCAGCGTCGACGTCGATCGCCTCCTCCGCGGTGGAGCCCGACGTAGCCTCCTCTACAGCCTCAAGCTCAACCACCATGCGCTCTGCCGCTGCTTGAGTGGCATTGGCGTCGTCGTCAAGCCGAGCGCGTTTCGTTTCGGGCTGCGCGTCCACGTCATCCGCCAACTCGCGCTTTCTGTCTCTGCGGTGTGAGACACGCTACGTGCACTAGAAAATCTGGAAGGCGCTCACGCTGTTGTCGAGGTTGCCGCTTTTTTCGCACGGGGCCGCTTCTCTAGTACGGCGACGAAGAACCCGCCCGTGTCTTGCAGGTGGGGATATATCCTCATGCTAAAAATTGATGCTTCAGCCCGCCCGAAAAGCAAATACTAATCTTTACTCACCATCTGTCCAGCGCCAATGATTCAACGCCTTCCTCTGGCGGCCACTGTCCCGGGCTCATTTTCGCCTTCACGTTCTCGTCCACGTCAGATGCCATGCATTCTTCGTACGATTCGAACGTGCGCACAGCGGCGCGCTCGCATGCCGGTCGCCACGTCGTGAGGCCCGGCCGGCGGATGAGCGTGGGGAGCTTGTCAGAGACGTCCACGAGAACAAAATCTGAGCCTGATGTCAGCGCAGCAAGAGCACGAACACGCTAGAAAAGCACACCTTTGTTCGCGAGCAGCGCAGAGGCAATGACAGCCTCGTTCTCGACCGGGTTGAGCGAGCACGTCGAATACACGATCCGCCCCGTGCTCTTGAGCATGTTCATCGCGCGCTGGAGGATACGCAGCTGGAGCCTGCGCCGTGTCAGCACACGCCCCCGCAAAAAGGAGTCCGACCTACGCGTGCAGGCCGTTGCCGTCCATCGGCAACCACGACTTCCAGATGCCCATGTTCTTGCGGATTGTGCCGTCACCACTGCATGGTACATCGCACAGGATGCGGTCGAACAGCAGCGTCTCGAGGCGCTCGCCTGGCGAGGGCGCGGTGCCGGCGATCGCAGGCACCGCGCTCTGGTTCATGTGCGCGGGGACTTTAATCCCCGGATAGCCGCTCGCGTCGAGGTTCGTGACCATAAGCGCGGGGCTCGGTAGGCGCGCGCTCTGGTGGATGAGCAGATGCGTGCGTTTGTTGTCCGAGTCGTTCGCGATCAACAGCCCCGGAGGTATCGATGCCACGTTTTCTGTGTCCGCAGCGTGCAGGGCTTCGAGGATCTGCGCGGTCTGCGGGAGAGGTGAGTACGCAGTAGAGAACGCAGAGGAGCGGACCAACCTTTGAGCCCGGGGCGGCGCACATATCCATGCACTGTATGGTGTTAGATGGGTCTTCGTGAGATTGGTTGATTCAGAGGTACCTTGTGATGTGGCTCGACCTCGAGAAAGAGAGGTGGAAGCATGCTCACAGCCTCCTGGCGTGAGATGTTGCCGACCTCGGTCTCGAATACCAGGAAGGAGTGAAACTTTTTGAACTCGGGAGACTTGCGCAAGACTTTCTTTGGCACGTTAAACTGCCACGCGAGCCCATCGGGATACCATGATAGCTGCACCGGAGGTGGGATTTCCAGGCCCTCGAATACAACGTCGCTGAGGTTCGGGACATGGAGTTCCTTGATCATTGTGTTCAGCGTCGTCGCTACTCTGCGTAGTCGAGTCAGTGCTTCCCCACCGCAGATTCTGTAGCACATACTGGCGGCTCCCAGCGACACGGAATGTAGTAGGTAGGTGACCACGGAGCGCCGCCACAAACGCGTCCCACTCGTCCTCTGGAACGATCTGCTGAGCCTTGTAGTACGCGAAGAAGCGCTCGTTCTGCATGTCCGCCTGTTCAATCAGGTCGGTGCGGTCGTCGGGGTTGCGTTGCTTGCTGCCGTTTGCGCCACCACCGCGCCCACCACCGCGTTTCCCGCGCTGTTCTATATATCAGTAGAAGTTTTGGTCGTACGGAAAGAGACTCGCACCTTTCCGCCTCTGGCCATATCGTAGGAGGAATGTAAAGTGTTCAAAGTGATTTGTAGCGGCGAGCGATTTTCTCAATGATGTCTCGACACGTGCTAACTTGTAGATAAGATTAGATTACACGTGCCCGGCGCCGAGCGTGCTGACTCGCAGTGAAGGCTGCGCTCGGCGTCGTGCCTCACCTGTCCACGACCACCATGGCTACTGCATACTACGAGTTCTACCGCGGCTCTTCGTACGCTACTACGCCGCCCGTTTGTTTGCTGATACTGACACTACTGACGGCATACAGGATTGGCATGGCGCTCACGGATTCGCTGGACGAACTCATCACGAGCGGCGCGATTACGCCACAGCTGGCAATGAAGGTGTTACAGCAAGTAAGTCTTCCGCTTCAAACTGCGCGCCTCACGGCGTGATATGGACATTCTCTGACACGCCAGTAGTTCGACAAGTCGCTTGCAGACACGATGGTGAAGCAGGTCAAGACAAAGACCACGCTCAAGGTGCGTTTCCCCGTCCCCGCTCTTGCGACTGCGCTGCAAGCCGCCTGTCTCGCTGCAGGGAAGCCTGCGGACTTACCGCCTGTGCGACGACGTGTGGACGTTCATCATCAAGAACCCGACGTTCAAAATGGAGTCGAACGACATGGTCAACGCGCAGCGCATCAAAATCATCGCGTGCAAGAACGGCGATGCCATCGAGGCGGGCAAAAAGTAACCCGGATCCTCCCCTTTCTCCTCCTCCTCGTCGACTATCATCGCCCACTTCCCTTCGCCGACTCGAGCCGGATCCGCCCTACTATGCTTAGCGCGGAGGGTGGGATGCCTTGCGCGGCAGTTTCTGATAGAGGACTATCGGCATTCTTTTCTACTTTGCGCAAAGTGCCACTTGTACAACAGCTATGTACTTCTATCCACACAATCATCTTGAGCATCCTGACTCTTCCGCCTTTGATGAGCTGAGAATCAGACTGTGGCACGTCCGAAGGTACATTTCTGACACGACCGCGCTTTTTGAAGCGCCGGGTCAGCTACCCCGGACTTCTTTGCAAGCGCCTATTAAGCCACCTGTCACAAGAACACATGTACGTCATGCAATCTGCCACCTCCGCCAGCAAAATACCCGCCCCTCCACCCACTTTCCCATGTCTCCGCAGATGCTGCACTGCCAACGCTACTACGCCTGGACTCTCTCTGAACATTTACAAGTGAACTACGTCATTCTACATGGTGCACGACGGGGCGTCGGCGGCTGGCGGCTGTCCACAGGGTACTGCCCTCCCATGGCTTTGTTCCCCATATTGCGACGTAGCGTTGGAGGATGTTGTTCTGGTTCGTCTATGTTCTGCCGGTCTGTGGGGGGCTGCCATCTAGAACCCGAAGCGCCAAAAGTGCATTTCAGAGCTTGTTAAATCATCGACACGCAAGGACATACTACATTATGTGGGCACATGGTGTAGTTGGTTATCACGCTCGCTTAGCATTCTACTGTGATTTGCGAGAGGTGTTGGGTTCAATTCCCAATGCGTCCAATTTTTTGGTCGTTCACACTGCTTGACGATCATATCATTGTCAAGTCTCGACTCTCAACTTCAAGTCTTCAACTTTCAAGCCTCAAAACTTAATAAATTTTAAAGCACAAGTTTGAACTTTGAAGTGAGTCGTGACCACTGACCATTAGGCAGTCACTCAGCAGCAGCTAGCCATGCCTGCCGCCAGTCTGTCATCTTTTGGCAGTCCGCCCGTCAATGGAGTGTTAGGCGCCCGTGTCGTCAACGCAACGTACTTTTTCATGTCAATCGCAACCGCGCGTATGGACCGCCTTGATAGCAGTGAGCTCCCTGCCATCCGTTTATTATCATTTTCCTTTCAAACAAGAGCAAGAGATTCAGGGAAGAGCTCTGTGCTGATCATTCAAACTGTTACTTTTAGGTAGTTGTCCGTCAAAGTCCTTTATTTACATATGATATACATATTGCGTACACACAAAGTTCTGAAAGCACCCTCATAGCTGCGATCTGACAATATCATCTGCAGGATCTCGGCCAGCGAGCTCTCCCTTTGGTCTCTCCCGAAGCTCTATGCGAAGGATTTTTGCGGCAGCACTGCAAGTCGAATGTCAGATATCTAGCAAATAAACGAAGAAAATGATCAAACTACATACCTCTTGGGGATGACATTGATGACGATGACGCCCCCGAGCGCCGCGCGCACGGCGCCACCACCCGCCTCGCTCGTGGGGACAAGTGTGCTAGATTGTAACCATTTCGTGACTACACACTGCCTTCGCTTTTTACTGAGGTTCCCCTTGGCCAAAAGTGGAACAGGTGACAAGCCTATAATCCTTCTCCTATGCCATAAGTGCCACATGCGCAAGGCAAGAGGAAAGGAGATCGGCAGAAGAGCCATCACAAGCCAGCACTTTCAACTTTTCAACTTTCCTATCTTCTAGATCCAGGTATCCAGCAGCACCAGACATGTGTGCAACCCGACAGACAGCCGCATGTAGCCTGAGGTAGTCAGGATTAGGAAGAGGAAGACTGGGGTCGGTGGATGTGAAGGTGATAGTGTGGGATTGGCTGGTAGATAAAAATGATCGGTGATCGCGAAGACTCAAAAAACACACTTTGTAGGTATTATCCAGGCCCTGCGAGAAAGTCAGAGGACAGTGAAAAGAAGGTATATACTAAGAACTCACCGCAACATGCTCAAACCACAAATTGAGGTCATCAAACAGTGTATGCAGCTGAGAGTGCATCGTAAATCCATTTTGAAGGTGATGGATGCTTTCAGAGTTGAGCTCAGATAGCATATCAATGTGACTGAAACTCTCAATGATACTCCAGACGCTTCCTGCGTATTTTTTCTGGAGTATGTCGAAGGATTTAAAAATGATATGATAGGTAAATAGTAATCGAACTCACCTTCTTCTCGGCAGGATCATTTTGATCAAATCGGTTGGTCGAAGGGGGGAAGATATGGCAGTAGTTGGTGATAGTAACAACAGAGTTATCGTCCAAGTTGTACTTCTGCAAGTCTGCTGGTTGCATGGACTCGACACTTGTTCTATCTGCCTGGCCTGTCACAACACAGCGGTATCCGTCACGCCTTAATGCCTTCAAAAGAAACCGTATGGTCAGATTTAATGATCTAACAAAGAATTTGTGGCCATACTGACCGATTTTTTCGCAGCTTGGTGGCTCGCTGGGGCTGGTTCCACGGCTTCGTTAAAGAAATTGCGGTGCATCTCAAAGGATGGTCGACTAGGGTGTTCCGATGGTGCTGGGGTAGGGCCCTTGCTCTGTCGAACTGGAAAGAAGATTGAGCGGAAGTTGGCGATTGAGTGTGAAGGAGCGCTCACAAAGTCGGATCAAATGATCAATATAAAACAGCGACAGGGATCTCATCCGGTCAAAGCTTGCATGGCAGTCAACGACCTCGTGGGCAACAACCTCCCCGGCTTCGTGTGGGAGCTCCAGGATCAGATATCCCAGGCAGCGAGGAAATACGAGGGCGTCCTTATCGGTGCCTACACTAGCTTCCATCATCAAACATTCCTCATAAGCGTCGTGGAGGGGTGCCTGGGTGGAAGGATTGTAGTTGTTGTATGGGAGCGGGTGGGGTCGCAAGATATGCAGGGTCGACATGTTGCGGTCCAGGAAGGTGAAATGGACCAAGGCGTTTTCAACCTACGGGCAACACAGTACACTGCGCCGCCCACGGGTAAATTTGTTGCCTGTTGTTTACAGTTACCTTAATCACGGCGTTCGAAACCCACAAGGCGACGTCATGCTGACTCATCCGGTTGCTCAGCCCACCATCCCCTATGAACGTGAACGTTTGAACGCGTGAACTGCCATCCGTTTGGAGCCCTCCACTAGCTAATCTGCAGAAACAAACAGATACAGAGAAGAACTCGGCGCTTCTTTTTCGCACCTTCTCTAGGTGATTATCCGTCAAAGCCTTACATGTGGTATACATATTGTGTACATACAGAATCCTATTAAGCAAACCTCACAGCTTTGTTCTGACAATGTCATCTGCAGGATCTCGGCCAGCGAGTTCTCCCTTTGATCTCTCCCTTAGCTCTCTACGAAGGATTTTACCGGCGGCACTACAAAGCATATGTCAGATAATAAATTGAACAAAGAGGAGAATTGGGATATATACCTCTTGGGGATGACAGCGATGACGACGACGCCTGCAGATTTCAGGTTAATTGGAGAGAAGGTAAAGAGGCGGAGCCAGGACGAGCGCACCGCCTCTGAGGTACTTGTGCCGCGCGACCTTGCTCTGCACCCAGCTCCTGACACTTTCCGCGAAAGCAATTTTGTCGCTCTGTGATCGCAATGACGCAGGATTGGCGTGCGCTACATAGGCTCTGCAGTAACATTCGTTGAAGATCTTCAGGAAGCGATTTAGAGCGCTGTCATACTCGCCGAGCGTACCTTGGGAGCTCAGTGGCCTCCTTCGCACTTTCCACGCCGATCACAGCAGCATCCGCGATATCAGGGTGCGTGAGGAGCAGCCCCTCGAGCTCCGCTGGCGGCACTGGAGCGAAAAATAAATCAGCCCCTGCGACGCCCGAAATTACTCAGCCACGGAGCAAGGCGCACCCTGGAAGCCCTTGTATTTGATGAGCTCCTTGCGCCGGTCAACGATGTAGTAGAACCCGTCCGCATCGCGCGTGCCGATGTCGCCCGTCTTGAACCACCCGTCTGGGGTGATTGCGTCCCTCGTCGCCGTCGGGTTGTTTAGGTAGCCCTGTACAAATATTCGAATGAGCGCTGAGGCCGCGTTATTTTCGCGGGGCGAGTGATGGAATGTACTGCACCTTCATGATGGTCGGGCCTCGGACCCAGAGCTCGCCGCGCTCGCCCGCCGCCGCGTCGACGAGGCCGTCGCCATCGCCATCGACCACGAGGCGGATCTCGAGGTGCGGGAGCTGCACGCCTATGCTGCCGATTTTGTCAGCGCCGTTGGCAGGCGGTACGAGGTGGGTTGTCGGCGAGGTCTCGGTTAGGCCGTATCCTGAGTTTTTGGTATCATGCCATTTATTTACGTCAGGAATCGAGAAATATGCACCGCACCTTGCAGAATTTTTAGCGGCTCCTTGCGGTCGCCCTTGAGCTGCAGCCGGTCAATCACCGTGTTTGTGAGCTCTGCACCCAGAGGCGCGGCGCCGGACATCAGGATGTTGAATGAGGATAGGTCATACTTGTCGACGGCTATTAATCACGATTAGCGCCCGTTCTAGATTTTATTATTTGCTACAAGTGTACATACCAGGATGTCGAGCGAGGACAACGAGCACCGGAGGTACCACTAGCGAAATCGTAGCTTTATACCTCTGGGCGTAGGCACAGAAGTTCTCGGGGTCGAAGTGCGTCATAAGAGCGACCGGAACACCAAGTGTAAACGGCCAATGCAGGAGCTTGACAGCGCCTATCATTCGGTTCGCAAAAGATTCCCTGGTAAAAGCAAGGCGTAATCTCACCGTAGATGTGGTACAGAGGCAGGAATCCCAGCATAATATCTTTCTGCGCGTCCATCGGAACCACAGAAGAGATCATACCCAACACCGAGGTGATATTCGTATGTGTCGTCTTCAAAAGATCCAATCATCAGCTCGGAGCTGCAGTGAAAGCGCGCGAACGCACCTCAACCCCCTTGGGCTTCCCCGTCGTCCCAGAGCTATAGCACAGATACACCGTCTCCCCCGCCATCGCCGGTCCGTCGAACCGCTCCTCCTCCTCCAGCTCCCCACGCCCCAGAATATCGGCAGCACTCAACAATGCCGCGCTGTCCGCCGCGCGCGGCGCCGCAGGGCCCCCAGCCCACTCGAGTCCGGCACGGAGGACGACGATCCGCGCGTCCGCATCGGCCGCGCCAAAGCCTTGGGACTTGAGAGCCGCGCGCACGGCGCCGACGCCCGCCTCGCTCGTGAACACGAGCGCAGCGCCGCTGTCTGCGTACTGGAATGCGAGCTCGCGCGCGGTATACGAGTGGTTCGCGAGCGTGCAGCGCAGGCCCGCGGCAACTGCAGACATAGAGCAGGTATGGCCCAGTCAGCAGTGAATACGAAATACGGGCGGGGGGCCGGGAGCTAACGCGACTCACCTGATCCGAACACAACAACAGGCCATGCCAGTCCATTCGGCGCGTACACCATCACCGTCTTCCCGCGCCCCGCATGCGCGCGCGTCGCCGGGTGCGTGCGGAGCCCATACGCAAACGCCAGCGCGAGGCGCTTCAGCTGCCCGCGCGTAAGCACCGTGCCCGTCGCGGCGTCGATGAACGCGGGCGCAGCGCCCGGATACCCGCCGACGTCCGAGTCGTTTCCGTCCGCGCTGCCAGTGCCAGCGGCGGCCCGCGAGGCGAAGAGGTGGGTGAACACCGAGCGGTGCGCGAGCGGTGGGCGGGGGAGCGGTGAGGTATAGATCCGGGGTGCCATCCTGGGGTCTGGAAGAGGGGAAATTGAGCCTGCGGGGTGTTAGTTATGGACGGACAATACGCTGCGGCTTAAGTACGG